AGTCACGTTTCAAATCCTCAAGAGCCACATGTCGCTAGTTTGTACTGCATCAACAAGATAGATCTAAATAATCCTGTAATGGTCAGAGAATTCCCTGACAGTTATCAGAGTTCCATTAAATTTTGTTTATACCAATTATATTTGAAAACAGAGAAAATTGTAAGATATCATTTCATTTAAATAAATCACTAGTAATCACAAATTTTGTAAGAACGTTCTACAACAGCAAAAGGGGGGGGCAGGAGTTGTCACAACTAAGCTACTGCCTGTGACACCCATAATCCATAAGGTGGTTGGTTCCTGTCCGGTTGATCCACTTCTGACCCAGTAATGTGCCTGGGAAAGCAGAAGAAGTTGCCCCAACAGCTAAATACTCACCTTGCAAGCACTGGGATCTAATACGGGTGCAAGTTCATGTCCTAGCTGCTCCACTTCCCATCCAGCGCCCTGCTTGTGGCCTGGGAAAGCAGTCAAGGACAGCCCAAAGCCTTGGGACCCTGCACCTGCATAGAAGACCCGGAAGCAGCTCCTGGCTCCTACTGGCTTAGCTCTGGCTTTTGAAGCCATTTAGGGAGTGAACCAGTAGATGGAAGATATTTCTGTTACTCCTCTGCTCCATAAATCTGATCTACCTTTCCAATAAAAAATATAGTTTTAAAGATGATGATGGTCCCAGTGCTTGGGCTTCTTCACCACACCTGACAACTGTAATAAGTCTCTGGTGGCACAGCTTTGCCTTGACCTACCCCCAGGCATTGTTGCCACCTGGAAAGTACCTCAGTAGATAGAAGCTATCTTCCCCCTACCCACTCCACCATTCAAATAAATCATCTTTTTAAAAATTACTAAATAGTAAGTAGTTTTGGTTTTTTACAGTTTTGCACATCTTCTGAATACTTGGTTTAAAAAAAAAAAAAAACACAGCTGTGAGCCCAGCTCAATGGCTCAGTGGCTGAAGTCCTCGCCTTGTACACGCTGGGATGCCATATGGGTGCTAGTTCTAATCCCGGCAGCTCCACTTCCCATCCAGCTCCCTGTGTGTGGTCTGGGAAGGCAGTCGAGGATGGCCCAAAGGCTTGGGACCCTGCACCCCTGTGGGAGACCCAGAGGAAGCTCCTGGCTCCGGATCGGCTCAGCTCCAGCCGCCACTTGGGGAGTGAGCCAGCAGAAGGAGGATCTTTCTGTCTCCCCTTGTCTTTGTATATCTGACTTTCCAAGTTTGAAAAAAAGAAAAGCTGCATTTTCCTAGCTCATTCTACATCCAACCTGTTGGATTATCTCATTATAAGACATAAAGGGTCTTGGAGCCATCAGAATTCCTATATCATGCTTTACCTTTTCATTCTAGTACATCCCCCCCCCCCCACAATTTCAGGATTTTTCTCTTCCAGATTAATAGGAAGAAAATCCAAAATCCTAATGTTTTTATTTCAGTATGGCTGCTTCCAAATAATCTCTATTCTCTAGTAGAATTCATCACGTGCTCATGAAGTATATGATGGCATCATTCTCCGCCCCCCCGCAAAAAAAAAAAGAAAAAGAAAGAAAATCCAAAACCCAGCATGCTCAATTGTTAAGGTTATTCAAATATTCCAAGATCCCAAAAAATTCTGAAATCCATAATGTATCTGGGCACAAACAATTTTCTATTTCAAATTTCACAATAAACTTTAACAAAATAGACAAAGTTTATTTTGTCAATGAAAATATTTAAACTAAGAATCCATAAAAATCTTCCCTTCTTCATTTAACAACCCCACTGTAGAGCAAAATTTTCTGGTGACCCTGTTTTTCAAATTAAAAAAGAAAAGGAAGGGAACAAATTAAGGAAAATTGGACATAAAAATAAGACAGGGTATTTGAAGCTATAAATCTCCCAGAAAATGCATACTGTACACACAATACTCTCACATAAATATTAGGAAAGTAACAATGCCAAACATTTGTTATATGTACATAATATTAAAATTAGCCTAAATTATTAAATACTAAGTTATTAAATAACTACCATAGGTTTATTCAACATATAATAACAGCCTCAGGTTCCAATTTGGCACTTACACATATTATCAAAGATTGGCTAAAATAAATCAGTCATCCAATTACATAATAACCTTTAAAGACACATACACTCTTAAGGTATAATTAGCAACAAATCCAAGAGATGACTTAACTTTCCATTAATACTTCTCACTATTTTTCTTCCAGTCTTAGAACTTTCACAATGCAGGGGTCATCTACTCAAGCCTGTGCCCTTATGATAAAGCTCTCCAGAAACGCAGGCAGCAGCACACAGCTGGCTCGGGGAGCGGCCACACACCAACAGCGCCTCCAACACACTGCCAAGCAAAGCTTTCTAAAGGACATTCAATCTTTACCATGAAAGTACCTAGTATGGTTAAACAGAGATTTTTTTTAAATAAACAAATTTACATAATCTTTCAAACCCCTCTACAGCATAAATATTGACAGCTAAAAGAATGTGTACACATGACACTTAAGCTGACAAGAGCAAACATAAGCAAAAGTATAAACTCCAGTTCCTCCTAACAAATGGTGGTGCTAAGAACAAACGCGTCAAGCCTGTGCACAACACTTATGCTAATGATACTCAACCTGGAGCTCACCTCTTGCCCAGACTTTCATAGGGATCACCCAGCACTGGTCACCAAGCACTGTCTCCATCACTGCATCCACTTGTACAGTCCTACAGCTGGACATCTGTCTCCTCAGTCCAATCTTTGCTGGCACTTCATGCGCTCCCTGAAGGGGCCACAAGTTCTCATCCTTTCCATTGCACAAATACCAAATGACCACCATTCTTGTCCTAATACCACTGGGGACCGACAGCAATAAAAACTAAGAGCCAGGAATCCATATTCTGGGCCACCTTTCTTTCTCAGCCTTTACCTCACCAAATACAGCTTTGATAAATCAGAAAATCTGCCTTGTTTCTGTCTAAAGAAAAGCTTTGTAAAGGAGCTTCAGATTACAGATGCAAGATTTATTATCTGCACAACATGATCATAAAAAGCTTTAAGATATAAAACTCTTATATTTTCAAATGGAAAACTGTTCATCCTCTTCAAGCAGAGTATCACAGGTCAAGTTCGGCTTCACCGATAATCCCAAACGCTGAGGAAAAACGTAGCTTTCCACAAGCAATATGAAGCCCTGTTCCCTTTACAGTATTTTTCAAAGTTCTTACCGCAGGGCCTATTATAAGGTTCTAAATATTTTCCTATCTCTTGAAACACACACGTTCAGCACTCATGGAACATGGTACCACCCCCTGCATTTGTCTCATATGTTATTATTAGAGGAACCGAATTCTCATTGTGCACTACCTTCTATCAAAACCAGTTTTTGCTGGGACCAGAAAGTATATAACTGTCAAATTTCCAGTCACCACTGAGAAAACAGATTCTTCTAAGACTTCTCAAACACAATATTTACCTTCTTGAAACTAAAAAGCGCTGAAACGATCATGTATTTCATCATACATATGGTTACACGGACTATTCCAGACTTAATTTGCAGTTTAAGTTCCACTGTTGAATGTGGAGACCCTTGTGTTCTCGAGTTCCCCCATCAGAAACGGACCACGCAGTCTACATACAACCAAGCTACTAGCTTGAAGTCCCCCTACCTAAAAACAATGGCTGAACACAGCCTGAGATCTCTTACAGCGCCAGTGCTCTCTCATCTTCCCCCACCTCAACCACGGCGGCACGAGACAAAAACCAGGAAGGGGGGGACACCTGTGCTCGCGCTGCCAGCGCCCGGACCCTCTGCCCCGGCTGCGGCCAAGTCAAGCTGCTGTTTCTGGGTAACCCGCACCATGCCCTTCCGCTGCAGCAGCGGCCCGCACATCCCCCACTCCCGCGGCCACTTCCGTGTTTACACTCCTCTTCCCTCCAATTCCATGCGTACACTGTCAGCTTCACTCCCGCCCAATCTTCATTGGCCCAGCGCGGGCCCGGAGTCCCGCCCCCGGCAGCTAGCGTTCTTATTTGGAACATCGCGAAGAGCTGATTGGAAGCGGGGGCCTGTCAATCGCGTCCGCTCTGTCCTCTCCGAGGCGCTTCCGCTATGGTGGGAGTGGGGGGGGAGGGGAAAGGGGCAATTCTGAGCTGAGACTTCCCCAGGGCCAAGACTCCCTCCCGCCCGCCCCACTCCTTCGCGTTCGCCCCGTTACAAAAATAAACCTCCTCCGAAGCCCCGACGCCCCGGGTCAGGGGGACAAGACGCACCCCGTGTCCTTCCCCTTCTCCCCCTAAAAAAAAAAAAAAAAGCAAGCCACCCACGAGGGAAGGGGGCACGAACCTAGTCCGGCCCCGCACCCACTGACCGGGGCGAGGGAGGCGGCCGGGGGACGCAGCGCGGCTGCTCTGCGGGACGCGGTGACCCTGTCCAGGACCGTTACTCCGGAGCCGGCACAATGCGGGCTGCGCGGGGCAGGGAGGGTCAGGCGGGTTTTGGCGGGTACCGGTCCGCCCGGCGCTGCCCGGTCCACGCGGGAGCGCTGGCCGAGCCCACGCACCGGGGCTGGCGCGGGTGGGCGAGCCTCGCCGAGCCGTGCCCCGGCCGCGGGCGGCGGCGGCCTCTCCGGCCAGACAGCGTGGCAGCGCCGCCAGGGACAACAGCTCCGCTCACTTCCTGGTTCTCGCAGCCGGGGCGAAGCGCGCAACTCGTCCGCCCCCGAGTGCCCAACTTCACCGGGCTCCGCTGCCAGCGCCCGCCCGGCAGCCGCGCCGCTGCACGCCCGGCCCGCCCCGGAGCGCCGGCGCCGGAGCCCAGGCAGGTTACTCTCCAAGGTGATCACTTCCTGATTCGTCGCCTCCATTACTTCATTCACTCCCCCCTTCCCCTGGCCGCCCAGTGCCCGTGGGTGGACACCGGCCCCCCTGCCCTGACCGCTCCAGGGGAGGCACCCCGCCTTCTGTGCACCCCATCTCCTGCTGCACCGATGCACGGGAGCAAAGTTCCCCAGTCCTTACCGGCCCGGATGAGCAGATCCAGCTGGTTCGTGGGTCCCTCATGCAGAGACGTCGCCATGTTTATCCCGGGGCTGGAGCTGCTGCTTCACATTGACTTACCCCGCGAGCCGCGGCGGCAGGGGAGGAGGCGGAACCCGCGGCCGGAGACACACGCCGCGCGACCCACACACACTCGCGCACTCGCACACACTCCGACGCCCGGATCCTTGCGCGTCCTCCGACAGGAAGCCGAGGCCGGCCCGCCTCCCGCCGCCGGGCAGAGCAGCCCCACCACCTAACGGCAGGGGCGGCGGCGGCCCCGGCTGGCGACGCGATCCTTCCGCCCCGCGCCCAGACAGGAAGTCCCGGACGCCAGCCCCGGAGGACGCCGCGGCCCGCGGCCCGAGACACCTGAGGCTGCGGGCGGCCGGCACCGCGGCCCGCGCTCGGCCCCGCGGCAGGAAGAGGCGCGTTTCACGCCCTGCGGAAGAAAAGTCTACAGTTGTGGCGTGTCCTCCAGCCCCCACCCCCCACCTTGGAAAAGAGCCATTAATCAGAATTTCTTCCTGGAAGCAATCGAATACCTAGTCCCACAGCTGTAAATAAAGATGGCTTTTTAACTTGTTTGGGCCTTTTCAAAGCTTATGCAACACGTAACCAGTTCGCGTCAAAGAAATGCACTTTAGAACAGGACACCACCACCAACAACAAAAGCATACTTAAAAAATACTCTGAAAGCATTACCAGGAAAGTAAGAAGCTTCTAACTACTTTCCGAGACCGACTTCCGTTCACAGACACAGCACACTAAACAGGTATTTAGTAAACACAATACAATAACCTTTCGGGGCTCAATTAGACTTCTCCGATTTGCTAATCATGAAATTCATACACCCTTTCTGTTTGGTTGACATACTCATATAACTGTTATCTCAAACAAAATCTTTGCTAGAAACTAACCGTACTACAAGCAAAGTATAAAAGTATAAGAGGATAAGGAGGTAGATTGCCAAGCTAGCTAGTATAAATTTACTGACAACAGCAAACCAACAAATGACAGGAACTGCCTTAAAACACGAAAAAGCTTCCATGACAAAAACTTGAAAACCAAACGTTGCCATAAAAGTTGCTTGTACACAAAATTGACATAGGTAGTACCTTCTCTAGAGTATTCAATAAATACATGCTGAATAAGCACCAAAAAAATAGCTCTGGAAGTTACAAATGTAATTACTAATTAAAGTGATATAAGTTTTATGTGAATTAATTTTGCCAATAATAGGGAAATTGTTTTTATTGGTAATATTAATGCAGTACCACTATAAAAGTTGCCCAGTATCAGTGTAGTGACAATGGATCTGCATATCTGCGGCTTTTTTTTTTTTTCTTCCAAATAAGCTTTTGTTTTCTTGCCACTCTCCCCTGGACTGATCACCATAACCCTCACTCTCCCAAGAAAGAACCTACTGGTCATTTCCAAAATACAACTCCCCTTAAACCAAACCTGAATCTGTGTCTTGGATTGGGTAAATCTGCCAGGAATGGGATAAAAGGCACTGGATGATGGTTAGCTTTTATCTGATTGCTAATCAACTGAAAACACAGGCCTTCCGCTGACAGCACCACAGAGTTTCTATGCGGGGGGATGGGAAGTAATAGTTAAGGAGTAATTTCAATTTTCAGAAGAATCACTGAATTTCATAACAAATCTGAATAATGCTCCTATCGGTTGGTAGTGTCTAATGTATTCTGGAAGTAAATAGAATAATAAGGGCAAAGGTATATTTTCTGTGGAGGTGCAAAGTCAACTGGGCTCAAAAGCAGTCTCTATGATGTAGAATCAGTTCAACACCTGATCTATAACCTTATTTTTACATTTTACTTATTTGAGAGGCACCCAGAGAGAGCCATCAGCTGGCCACTCTCCTCATGACAGCAATCCCTGGGGACAGGCCCAGTCGCAATTCAGTTCTCCCACACAGGTGGCAAAAATGCCAACCACTTGCACCATTACCTGCTGTCTCCCAGCATGTACACGAGCAGGAAGCTGCGATCAAGAGCCAAGCCAAAACTCCAAACAACATGGGAAGCGGGAATTATAACACTGCAGTAGGCCAAACACTTGCCCCCAACACACATAACTTATCTTACAACTTGCTTTGGAAAATATATCTGAAGAAGTGACTTATGTATGTGGAGCCTTCGAAAAGTTCATGAAAAATGCAGATTATGTAAAACTGTAATAGATTTGGGAAAAAATTCACACCAAAATAGATATTTCAATTCCATTTTGCATGATTTTTGTTTTGTTTTATTTTGTTTGAAAGGCAGAGAAACAGGGCCTGGCGCGGTGGCGCAAGTGGTTAAGGTCCTGGCCTTGCAGGATCCCATATGAGCGCCGGTTCTAATCCCGGCAGCCCCGCTTCCCTTCCAGCTCCCTGCCTGTGGCCTGGGAAAGCAGTTGAGGACGGCCCAAGGCTTTGGGAACCTGCACCCGCGTGGGAGACCCGGAAGAGCTCTGGGCTCCTCGCTTTGGATTGGCATAGTATCACTTGGGGAGTGAATCATCGGACGGAAGATCTTCCTCTCTGTCTCTCCTCTCTCTGTATATCCGCCTTTCCAATGAAAAAATAATAAAAATAAATCTTTAAAAAAAAAGAAAGGCAGAGAAACAAAGACAGAAGATATTCCATTCACTAATTCACTGGCAAACACCTGTAATAGCTGGGGCTGTGCCGGGTCAAAGGCAGGAACAGGAACACAGCTGCATCTCAGGTGTGTGGCAAGGAGCAATTCCTGAGCCATTGCTGCCACCTTAGGGTACAATACAGCAGGAAGCTGAATAGGGGTGGGACTGGCACTCAGATCTGGGTACTCTGTTATGAAATCTGGACATCCCAAATAGTGACTTGACCACTACACCAAATGCCCATCCTAATTCCCACAAACTTCCTTCAGTACCTTCATATTCGTGTCAAACTCATATTTCAAGCTCCAAGAAAACAGCAACTATATCCCTACATTACACCTATATACACAGATACATTGCAGAAGGACTGCAAAATCATACTAATGTTTAAAGCTTATGAAAACACAACTCCAAGGCAAGGCAGGTTGAGCTATTACTTGCAATGCCAGCACCTATATCTCAATTCTGATTGTAGTCCTGACTGCTTCACTTCCAACTCAGCTTTCTGTTAACAAACCTGCAAAGGGAGAAGGAATGGCCCAACTACTTGAGCCACTGCCACCCACATGGGCGATCAGGATGGAGCTCAAGGTTCCAGGGTTTCGGCCTGGTCCAGTCCTGGCTGTTGTGGCCAATTTGCAAAGTAAACCAGCAAATGGAAGAAATCACTTTCTCACTCTATTTCTCTTCTTCTGTTGCCACTCTTTCAAATAAATAAATATTTTTATAAAATGAAAAAAGAAAACACAGTTCCTTGAGCTTTAATGTAACTCTTTCTTGCTAGTGTAAGCAGGCTTTCAAAAAGCACCGATACATTTTAGAGACCAATAACACTACACTGGGAATAACAAGTAAGAGTAGATAACTATTTGAATTAATATTGGCACACACTTTCAGAAAAGTGATGTGGCACATATATATTATGGGTCTAAGCAAAGTTTACATTTTCTGACAAAAGAAGTTCACTTCTGGAGCTTACGCTGAGAAAATGAAAATGATGTTCAATGACTGTTTTATTAAAAATATATTTAAAGATTTTTAACATGAGAAAAACTTAAAAATAGAAGGGCAGGTGTGTTGTGTATTTGTGACACACATGCACTTATCTTCATTTTTCAAGTTTGCAAGATTCAGCAGGCAGCAGCTGAGTAGAAGAATTTTAAAACTTGAGTGTGAGGGCCCCGCACAGTGGCCTAGCGGCTCAAGTCCTCACCAGGAACGCACCAGGAATCCATATGGGCGCCGGTTCTAATCCCGGCAGCCTCGCTTCCCATCCAGCTCCCTGCTTGTGGCCTGGGAAAGCACTCAAGGATGGCCCAAAGCCTTGGGACCCTGCTCCCATGTGGGAGACCCAGGGGACACTCCAGGTTCCTGGCTTCGGATCAGCTCAACTCTGGCCGTTACAGCCAATTGGGGAGTCAATCAATGGACAGAAGCTCTTCCTCTCTGTCTCTCTTCCTATCTGTATATCTGACTTTGCAATAAAAATAAATAAATCTTAAAAAAAAACTTCAGTGTGAAGTCATGTTATTACACTACACATTTTCGAGTAAATTCATATTCTGCTAATAAAATTATAGAAAGATGTCCCTACATCAAAATTATTGATGTGTCCCAGCAAGAAAAAAGGAAAATAAAAGCCAATTCTTACCAAATGCTCTCCTAATAAAAACACATCTACTTCTATGTTTTCCACTTAATTTTTTATATACAAGGTACTTCAGAAAGTTTGCAGAAAATAGAATTGAGAGATATATTTATTGCATTTTCCACAAACTTCTACTCCTTTGAAATTGATATTACTGTTATGCTTACATGGATAAAGGATCTAAGGTTTCTTACTCAAGATCATGGAATTAATGAAGAGCAAGATCGGATTTGAATCCTCTCTTGCACCCCAGGCTTTAGTCTCACTATCCAGGAATTCCAGGAACCAGAGACCTGGTTATTTGACGTTATGCATTTAGTACCCATGGGCCTTCTTGTCAACAACTCCTTTTGCATTTCTCCCCTTTAAGAGTTGGAGTGTAGGCCCCTGTCTCCCAAGGGTTAACTCCACAGCTTAACTTGTTTCTCAAGGTGTAGCAGGATGGGCAATCTTGGCCTGCTGCATTTAGCCCCTGGCTTGACAGCCAGTTTCCTCCTCCCTTGCTTCTCCCCTTTTTACCCACCCTCCGGGGAGCTTAGGTGTTGCTTAATCTTTGGGAAATGCCTGGAGGGGCCAAACAGACTAAAAAAGATGCAGCTTGACTTTAAATAAATTGGCATTCTCTTCACAAGAATGACCCACTGTGTGTCATCTGTGTGTTGTCTGTTTCATAACCCTAGTCCCTCCACTCGGCTCGGGGTACACAGTGACACTGCGTTGCCCACATTGGAGCCAGACCCGGCTCGATGGCCTTGTGGCTAACGTGCTTGCCTTGTACAAGCCAGTATCCCATATGGACACTGGTTCTAATCTTGGTGGCTCTGCTTCCCATCCAGCTCCTTGCTTGTGGCTTAGGAATACAGTCGAGGACAGCCCAAGACTTTGGGACCCTGCACACTGCGGGAGACCTGGAGGAGTTCCTGGCTTCGGATTGGCTCAGCTACGGCCATTGCAGCCGCTTGGGGAGTGAATCATCATCTTCCTCTCTGTCTCTCCTCTCCCTTTCCAATAAAAAAATAAATAAATACATCTTTTTAAAAAAAAGGGGGGGGGAGAGTTGGACCCTCCTGCTCTTCCTCATTTGTGTACAGGCTACACTAATTACTCTTTCTCATGGAAGGAAGTTGGCTTGAGATAATAGCTCTTAGAGGTTATGTTATGAGTACAATCAAACAGATCAGTGGAGTTGGAACAATAAGATAAGACGCAAAAACATCCTACCAACCAGATATCAGACTGAGCTATCAAGGGGAGAGTCTATTAGCCCATTTTTCATTTCTTTAGCGAAATATATGATGCAGTCCAGTTTTGTTTTATTTAAAATAAAAAAAAAAAAGGTGGAAGGGCCCAGTGCGGTAAGCCTAACAGCTAAAGTTCTCACCTTGAATGTGCCAGGATTCCGTATGGGTGCCAGTTCTAATCCTGGGAGCTCCACTGCCCATCCAGCTCCCTGCTTGTGGCCTGGGAAAGCAGTTGAGAACAGCCCAAAGCCTTGGGACCCTGCACCCGTGTGGGAGAACCAGAAAGGTCCCTGCCTCCAGGCTTCGGATCAGCTCAGCTCTAGCCGTGCTCTGGCCCTTGTGGCTGCTTGGGAAGTGAATCAATGCACAGAGGATCTTCCTCTCTGTCTCTCCTCCTTTGTGTATTTCTGACTTTCCAATTAATTAATTAATTTTTTAAAAGGCCTGGTGCGGTAGCTCAGTGGCTGAAGTCCTCACCTTCCATGTGCCGGGATCCCATAGGGGCACCGGTTCTTTCCTTTTTTTTTTTTTAAGATTTAT